GTGGGAGAAATGATTTAAAAGTATCTCCGACATTTTGTTTATTTCACCTGACAAATAAAATGAACTGTCGATTTCGGATAACATTCTACGCAGGGCAAATAAATCACAGTTTTTGTAATCATAAATAGGTTTGCTCACTTTTTGTTTACTTTTTGATTGTAAGTTGAATTTTGCCTCTAGCAAAAAATGTGGTGATTTTCCTAATTCAGGAAAGACTTTAGTGCTAGGCTGCTCTCACGGTTCCTTGATTTTCTCAGCAAATGAGAAGATCCTACAGAAGTAATAAGACTCGAGACTTTCGAGACTCGGGACTATTCGAGACTAAAGTTTCGAGTGTCGAAACTTTTCGAGACTACAGTATTGAGACTTCTCGTCTCGGTGCATGCCGGATATTGTTCTCTTTTCCTACTCAAGAAACATGTCGTATGTCATAAAGAAAACTTTATGAAATACAATAGTGACTATTGTATTTCGAACTAATGTAATCTTGCTTTATTTAGAATCTCTTACATGTGGGTGTTATTCGTTCAGTTGCTTATTTATGGATACGTTTATTACTTATGAGATATGCAAATCCTTGTAGTAAAGACAAGGACGATTATACACCAGCGCACTACGCCGTTGAGCGAGATGATGTTGAAATGTTGAAAGCATTAACCGTGCGATTCCACCCCACAGTTCAAATATTAAAAGATTCCGACATCACTAATATCCACCGCCGATGCCTAGAAGCATTAGTTATACGAGAGAAATTTGGTTAGTAAACTAGCTAACAAAAAGGAGGGGTACTAATTGTTGATCTTTATAGGTGGAATGACTACATTTATGCTTGCATGTAAAAATCAAGCTGAGAAATGTATGAGGTATATTCATGAGCTTGGTCTGGCTTTTGTGAACGAGCAGGTAAAGTGATGTCACCAAGATACAGTCAAACATGACTATATTATAATTCTTTTTAAGGATATATATGGTGACACGGCACTGCACTATATTGTTACACGAAATAACGTTGCTTTAACAAATTATCTAATTGATGAATGTAAGGCAGATTCCAATGGCGGTGATGAGCACCGTCCTAGTCCATTAGACATAGCACTATACACTGGAAATGTCGAAATTCAGGATAAGTTAAAGAAACACAATGGACAATCTCGATGTCGAATTGAAAAACGAATACATTCAACTTCCGATGTTACATCAAAATTTGAGAATTTAAACCTTAATATAGCTCCGAACAATACCAGTGCACTTTTCACTAATCCAACAATCTCTAGTTCATTTATAGCATTTGATAATGATCAGGTTGAAAACCCAATAAACAATACTGATGATCGAAGCCCGATGACCCAGGTATCTGACCTTCAAAGCAAAACTATTCAGTCTACAACAGCAACTGACTCCGATAAGGCGTTAAATTATTATAAAGATTTATTGAAGTTATATGACCAAAAATATTGTAATGTGTCTCATGTAGACATCGTTCGAGCAAATATTAGCATTGGCTCAATCTACCATCGTATTCGTGAATACGCATTGGCATTGCGCAGTTACGAAAACGCTTTAAAAATGGCTTCAGATCTCAATACTCAACCAGAAATGGCCAACTGTGAATCGAACATTGGACTAATATTAGCTATAAAAAAAAATGATATAGCCGCATTACAGCATTTCCAAAAAGCATTAGAACTGAGACAGATGAATCCGGCTCAAAACGCAAATGAAATAGTGAGATTAAAACGGTTTATCGAAAGTCTAAAGAAAAAAGACTTTGTGTGAAGAAAGAAACTTTGTGTGTGACGTATCTTACTAACGAGGGAACCTCCCGAGATGCCCAAGTCCGATTCAGATGCTTTGTACATGGATCGATAGACCTCAGTGAGGTAGTAAATACTCTAAAACGGTTCGGATCCGTGACTCTTGAAGACCCGGTTTTCTGGAAAACCAGTTTTTCAGAAACTCTAAAAAATAATCAAAATCTTTTCTTATGCTCTTATTATTAATAATTAATAATCAAATTCTTTCCATGTACAAAGCATTTGAATCAGAAGTGAGCACCTCGGAAGGTTCCCTCGTAAGTGTAGCACACCTAATAAGTATCAACCTATTTCACTGGATGATTTGTGAGAAATAAGTATCTTATCCTTTTTTGTCACATACTAATAAACCTGAAAAATTTAAATAAATGTAAAGCAGAATTCTAGGAACTATCAATTTTACAACGGAGTAGTTGCCGATATTCATCGAATAACACTTGATCAAAAAGAAATAAAGACTCGCGGCTTTTGGTTTTTGATAGAAAGCCTTTAGGACATGTATCCATGGAAAAAATGAGTTTAAGCTTTTAGTTTACTACGGTATACCTCACCAAGCAGAATCTATGAGATTATCAAAACACGAAAGCAAAATGAATTTTATTAACTGCTGAACTCTATATTTCAACGCCAGTTGCAAATTTCTATCTACTACGGTTTAGACGTGGTTCGAACCTCACTCTTCCTTTTCTTCGAAGATACTATGATGAAGTATATTGAACTTTTAGCAGCGAAGCGCCTTGGCTTCCGTTTCTTGTTTTGTTCGTACGACGTTTGATGTCTTAGAACGAGATTCGATCGAGGTCATCGACTTTAGCGAATCTTGCCGGAGCCGACTTTCAAAACTTCAGAATTCAGTAACTAATCACACGAATCAAAATTTTCAAAAAATGGTACATAGTTCGATGCAGTTTTGTTTCCTCTTTCCAATGAGATCACTCTCAAAATTCTAGCCCAAAAATCGCGGAGGAAGATCCACAAATGACACGAAAATTGTCTTTGTCCATTTGCAGAGATAAAAAGACAGCTGATTTGAAGCTCTCACCAGAATGAACATATTGCAGCGAAAATAGGTTTCAAAAATGCGCGGTTTGTGTGTAGAGAAATGTAAGTGTACAACTCTTGTATCGGTAACCCGTTGTCTAAGCGACTGCCACAGGTAAAAGGTTTATGTAGAATTCGTTAGGGAGTAGTATCGATAAGGCCGTTTTTTTGTCCACGATATTTTCGAAAAGAATTACATATTCAAAATCAAGGTCAAATTCGGAGTAAAATGAGGTTTCTTTTTCTGTCGCAAAACGACTTTCATTTTTCACCTAGCATTTTGCCGTTCAACGAATTTTGTATAGTTTTTAGGCCAAATACTCAAAAAACAGCGAAAAACACTGGTTTTCGGGTACTTTGACCTGATATTATACGACAACGAAGCCTCTAACTAATGAGTGAAATACATAGATCGATGTAGTTTTTCACGCTCTTTTCGACTATGTCTTTAAAAGTAAGAATGAATAAAAGATAAAACATGGTCAAACAGCTGCAATACTCGAATCATAACAGATTTTGCAGAAGATTATGGTAATCCCATCTCATAAAAGAATTCAATAAACACGAATCAACGATAATATCGACTACATTAGAACTAAATTTACGTACATTTATACATGTTTTATTGTTGAACAGTGACATTTTTTTACGTCGTATTCTAATGTCATTAATTAGTAAACGTAATCCGGTACCATTTGTTGAACCGACTATCAGAAATGAACCATCAAAATATGAATTTGTATCATCTATTATACATGTTTGGAATCACGCATGACCAACGCTATTGTCATTCAGTATCGGTTCCGATTGTAAAGGCAAATCGTCGTAGTTAAACGAACTATTTAAATCAACATTTGAACAACATTTAAATAGTATTTATTTTCAACAAACAATTGATATTGATTTCGGTTATTCCTTTATACCAGAAAGACCGTTAAATATTGCTGATTGTCATGCCATGACAATCCCCATGGGAGATGAGTCTTGATTTATTAACTAAAATACATTCATTATTTGATGGTTATTTGATACATAGTAGTGCAAAATGTTATGAAGAAATCGACTCATATTAATGGGATATGTGAGATTATTACCAAGAGATAAATTTTATTTTATACTTATACGTAATACTAATGCAACACCAGATTTAGATGGTAAACACGAATGTCAAATGATAATTGATTTATTATCGACTCCATCGTTAACCACAACAAATAGCATTGATCATCATGATCATCATCGAAGAATATATTCGCTAACAAATATGTCAATTACACAAGATCGAAAAGTACAGTTTACAATACAAGACTTACGTGACCGACTACTTCCATCTATTAAAAATCAAATTAAAACCCTTGTTGATACAGATAATTTTGAACCGGGTATCAATTGTTTTGATCACCAAAAAAAGATACTTTTGATCACCAAACGCCTTTAGATACAAATGATCGCCAAAGAAGGATACTTTTGATCACCAAATTTTCCAGCATCACATTTTTATACATATAAACATATAAATTTTAACAAAGACAATATTTTCACAGTTTTATT